TTGTGTAACTTCTTATCAAAATTAAATATGTACATATTTATGTGAGTACAGCACTTGCAAAAAGAAGAATAAAATCCTCTTCCATCCCTTTCCCCAGGCACAGTCCTCCACACCCATGTGTGCACTTCTCTAATTGTCCTCTTTGCTAGAAAACAGAAAGACCCATTTTCCACTATATCTCCTTCTTCCTCCTAACATTTTGGCTGAACTCTGAAAGTTTTCTTAAATTCATTTTTCTATACTTACACTGAATTTCTGTTTTGCCATATACTTTCACAAAGCTGGTTCTCTGTGTTGATATATTTGTATGTATTCAGGCACATGTGTGTGGGGGTACACATGTATGGAGTCCACAGAATAACCTCAAGTGTCATTCCTCAGGAGCTGTCCACCATGTATTTTTGAGGAAGAGTCTCCCACTAGCCAAAGTTGATGCTTGTTCTCTGAACATCCCGTTTGAAGGCTTTCCCATCTGTGTCATAGATGACAGCTTTATGACTGCAGAGCATATGTGAATACATAGGTAATACATGCACATTATTCAAACTCTAAACTGTAAATTAAAAATATAGCTCCCATTTTTGCCACCAATCTGTTTACTTTCCATCTCCTGGCCAATATAGCCACCATGCTTAGCTGTCATTCTCCGAGCTCCTCTATGCATAGAAAAGAAAAAGGAGCAGATCACTTTACATTCCCCACTCCCATAAAATATAACTAATCAAGCATTTTGTTTTCCAAACAAAACTATGCAACTTTTAGGTTTCTTTTCTAATATGCCCATACTATACAGGGCATACATGTCCTCATTCTTCTCACATCTGTGTATAGTTTCCTTTGTTATTAATGAACCCAACTGATGAATGACTGAGTTACTTCCGAGTCTTTCTGCTATAAATAATCCTTCAGTAAACACATAGCCTAACTGGTCTGTAGAATACATTCCACCAATGGAAACTGCTATGCCAAAACTTGGATGCATTTGTAAATTTGAAGAAATTCTGACCAGTTGCCCTCCTTTAGAGGTATGCTCACACACAAAAGCATGACAAGAGAGAATTCACCTGACTGCAGCCTGTTTAGTAGAGCATGTTACAAGTGAGAAATAATTTTATTGTATATATTGGTTTCTCACTACTCCCGACACAAACCACCACAAAGTTGGTGGTTTGGTGAGTCTGTGAGTTAGACCCTCTGGTAGGCAGGGCCTACCAGAGAGAGAGAAGGGCCACAGCTAGATAACAAAGGTGATGAGTTTCCAAGATGGTCAGCTGGCTTCTTCCTCACCTTGTGAGCTGGCAGCTTAAAACAAAGGCCTTAAGGTTTACTTTCTCCCTCCTACTTGCCCTCTCCTGATAAACTGGCTCAACAAGTGCCAAGCCAGATCAGGACATGTTACACAACAGTTGCTGGCCAACCAATCTTTCTATATTTCTGCAAACAAACTGACCAACCCTCATTTAGGAAGGAACAGCCTTCAGAGGCTTTAACAATCCTCAGCCTCAATAAAAGCCTGGATTTCGGAGACTTCCAAGCACCCTCTCTGCTTTGCAGAGGATCTTTTCTCTGTGAGTCTGCTGTGAGTGTGTTTCCTTTGGACAGCTGATTCTGTCTGCTGCCTTCTGAGCTGTTTGAGATTTCTCCACTGTTACTCATTTTGCTCAAAATTTTCCTGCCTCTTAATTCCTTAACTGGTAGAGAAAACGAATGTGATCAAGATAGCTATACTGTATTAAGTTCAAGCTACCTAATTTTATTTCTAATGCTTCTGAAGGCTAGATGTCTAAATGGATTTCACTGGTGTAAAAGCAATGTGTTGGAAGGGCTGTCCTACCTCTCGAAGGAGTCACAGAAAGATCCGTTTTATTTCTTTTGCAGTTTTTATTGTCCACCCATGTTGGTAGCTCTTTTAGAGCTAACAGTGGTGAGCTCCATCTTCTGTATCTATTACCCAGAAACCAGAGACCAACACTTCTGATCCTTCTCCAGGATTTCTGACCTGTGTCAGTAACACTGGGCTCACCCATGTAAAGTGAGATGACCTTATGTCAGCTAAAAGCAATCTTAACTCCAACTTTAATAAATCTTTGTTGTCTGGCATAACAGTAGCAGGGTCTTGGCATTTGGGCTGTGATCGTCTTTGAAGGACTATTATTTGACCTTTAGAAGTTTTCATTTTTTCTATAATTTTACTAAAATTGAGCATATTTTGTATGTTTCAGAAAATTAGATTTTTCCTTGTGGAAAAATAACTGTTCATATCATTTGGACATTTTCTAAGGATTGTTAACATCCATTTTATATTGGAAATGTTTACATCATCTCAATACCATTTGAAGTTGGCAGTATCATTGTCCCGTATGCTCTGATGTTATCCATATTTATTGGTTTTGGAACTTTGTATGTGTGCACATGTGTGGGGTGAATGAGCATATGAGGGTCTAGATGCATGTGTGTGGAAGTCAAAGACCAACCAGGATTTATCAAGAACCATCTGTCTTATTATTAAACCAGACATTCTCCCTGAGACCTGGGGAATCATCCATTAAGCTAGGCTGGATAACCAGTGAGCCCCAGGGATCATCCTGTCTCCCACTCCCAGCGCTGAGATTACAAACTCCACCAGGATGCCCAGCTTTTTCCATTGTTTTGGTTTTGGTTTTTGTATGTTTGTTTGTTTTTCATTTTTCAGTAGCCTTTTTTTCCACATGAAACTTTGATCCTTTCAAAATTTATCTGGTCATAAGTAATGAGATACAGGAAAATTCATTGGTTTTCAGTTGATTACACAGTTACCTAACAATGTGTGTGTGTGTGTGTGTGTGTGTGTGTGTGTGTGTGTGTGTGTGTGTGTGATATCTTCACTTGTCTGAGTTACCACCTTTAGCATTTATGAGGATGTCGTAGGTCTATTTATTATTATTAACTGTCTTGGTTTCTCTACATGCCCATAAGTGTTGTGTTAGTAGTAATTCAACCACAATGAGGTGTGTCTTTGAATCACCCAGGCAGTAACATTCTTCTTCGAGTGAAAAAGTAGAGACTAACATTATGAAACAGAAAGTAAACAATAGACCAGGAAGAGTGGAATAAAAATAAGGATCACACAGTCACTGTCTGAGCTTGATTCCAAATAAAAATTCAATCTTCAATTGCATCTTGAAGACAATTATATAGGAATTACTACGAGAGAGCAAGCATATGTAGTGGAGAGGTAAGCAGGATAGATAAGAAGTTGTAAAATGAGTAAAGTTTCCCACTTCCACACAATGCCTGCACACCATACAGAAGAGTGGGCAGAAAGACTGTGGGAGCCTGAAGACCAGAAGTCTGATATATGAGATTGTGTCTCCTACATATGACAGGGAAAGTATACCCATGATACTGCAACAATATGGCTATCCAAACAAGACCTAAACAATAGTAACACCAATGAGACAAGCTAACATGAAAGGAGGACATTCCAATGGGCCTCACCCATAGACAAAGAACTATAGGCAACTAATGGCTGACTGCTGAGAGAGAGAGAATTAGTCCTTTCAAGGATGACAAGTCAGTACCAAGTGAACAGCCCTGAAATCATATACATACAAGCAATGGAGGATGTAGTTATATATATGAGAGAGAGAGAGAGAGAGAGAGAGAGAGAGAGAGAGAGAGAGAGACATATAACAATAAAGAAAGGAGGCCATGATTTCAGAGCAAGTAGAGGAGGGGCATAGGAGAGGCTGGAGAGGTTGGAGGGAGGAAGGGGAAAGAGGAAATAATGTAATTATATTTTAATTAAAATTAAACACTATTAAGGAGAAGTTTTCCAACTCTTAGTTCATAATCTCCATGGAGTTCTATTCAGTGTAATGTTTCTGAGATATTTAATAAATGCAAACCAAGATGTAATAAGAATAAATTGTATAGAAACTTATTTTAGGAGTTGTTCATGGTGATACTAGACACATGATGAACCAGAGTTGGAAAGAGGAAGAAGCTCAGATGTTCCGACCAAGTGCTCTCCAGGGCTTTCTAAAGACATAGATAAGGGACCGGATCCAGAATATATATCATTATTTGAGAGTGTCCCACCCTCTACACTTAAGTAAAGCCCACTTACAGATACTATACATACTATTGTGTGTACAAGATACCTAACCAAGTATGGCAACACATCCTTGTAACCCCAGTATTCAAGATGCTGAGGTAAGAATTACTGTGAGTTTAAAACTAGCCTGGGCTACGAAGCAAGAATATATGCCCCAAACTACAGAATGACTGTAAATAAATTTCAATTTTTTCTATGTTAATCATCAGAATAATCATCAGAATGCACACACTAAACATTTATATTGAGATTTTTCCTAATGATTTTATATTGTCATGAAAATAATTATGATGATAAAACTTTAGTAGTTGTATATAAAAATATGAATGAGACCTGAAGTTCTGCCCAATTCCTTTTATAAAGCTTTCAAGAAGCCGGGTGGTGGTGGCGCACGCCTTTAATCCCAGCACTTGGAAGGCAGAGGCAGGCGGATCTCTGTGAGTTCGAGACCAGCCTGGTCTACAAGAGCTAGTTCCAGGACAGCCTCCAAAGCCACAGAGAATCCCTGTCTCGAAAAACCAAAAAAAAAAAAAAAAAAAAAAAAAAAAGCTTTCAAGAAAACAGCATTTCACATCACACAGAGCACAAGGATGTGTTCAATGCCTCTCTGTTATGTAATGCACTCCTTTGAAGCAGTACTGTACTATGTTCATTATTATCACTGGGACTTGGCACCCATTAGACACTCAGCAATCAGAAGTGAGTAAATTTATGAATTCATAACCACTCTGGAAGCTTTTGATGTGTGGCTCTCAATGCTAAGTAATGAACTGCATCAGCCTTGGTATCTCTACTCTGTTACTTTGGTTCTGCTGAGAGTACAGCAAAGGTAATTAATTGAGTGATGACATATGAGATACCTAAACAAGTGTTCTTTTCTTTTCTTTCATTCTGCGTATCAAAGCTCCATTCAACCCAAATAAAGGAGCAGACAGCATTGTCAAGTTTGACACTTTTGGAGATGGGATGGGAAGATACAACGTGTTCAACTTCCAGCATATAGGTGGAAAGTATTCCTACTTGAAGGTTGGCCACTGGGCAGAAACTTTATCTCTAGATGTGGACTCTATCCACTGGTCCCGGAACTCAGTCCCCACTTCCCAGTGCAGCGATCCCTGTGCCCCCAATGAAATGAAGAATATGCAGCCAGGGGATGTTTGCTGCTGGATCTGCATCCCCTGTGAGCCCTATGAATACCTGGTTGATGAGTTTACCTGTATGGATTGTGGGCCTGGCCAGTGGCCCACTGCTGATCTATCTGGATGCTACAATCTTCCAGAGGATTACATCAAGTGGGAGGATGCCTGGGCAATCGGTCCAGTCACCATTGCCTGCCTGGGTTTTATGTGTACATGCATAGTTATTACTGTTTTCATCAAGCACAACAACACACCCTTGGTCAAAGCATCGGGCCGAGAACTCTGCTACATCTTGTTGTTTGGAGTTAGCCTGTCCTATTGCATGACATTCTTCTTCATTGCCAAACCATCGCCTGTCATCTGTGCATTGCGCCGGCTTGGGCTTGGAACCTCCTTTGCCATCTGTTATTCAGCTCTGCTGACCAAGACAAACTGCATTGCTCGAATCTTTGATGGTGTCAAGAATGGCGCTCAAAGGCCAAAATTCATCAGCCCCAGTTCTCAGGTTTTTATCTGCCTGGGTTTGATACTGGTGCAAATTGTGATGGTGTCTGTTTGGCTTATCCTGGAGACTCCAGGCACCAGAAGATACACCCTTCCAGAGAAGCGGGAAACAGTCATCTTAAAATGCAATGTCAAAGATTCCAGCATGTTGATCTCTCTGACCTATGATGTGGTCCTGGTGATCCTATGCACTGTATATGCCTTCAAAACAAGGAAGTGTCCTGAAAACTTCAATGAAGCCAAGTTCATAGGCTTCACCATGTATACCACCTGCATCATCTGGTTGGCATTCCTCCCTATATTTTATGTGACATCGAGCGACTACAGAGTAAGTATTTAACTGCATTCTTCTTTTCCTTAATTTGACTTTCTTCTTTCCATTATTCTTGTCATTTATCAATGTTTTTTTGGATAGGAGTTAGGGTTGACTCCTTTTATTTCATCTCAAGAATGAATCAAGTAATTACAAATGCCATGATTAACTTCAATATATGAGAAAATTAATCCACTATATTTTAAGACATTTAATTGGTGCTTAATTAATTGTTCAGAGCACTGTGCCAGGCACAGAGGAGAAGAGAGATATAACTGATGGCTCATTCAAAGTAGTTTATAATTTAGTGAGGAATAAAACATAATACATACACATAAAAACATCTTAATTAAATTTAAAAGGCAATTGGCAAGAGAATGAGATTTAATCACTAAAACCCTGATGAGAATACTTGAAATTAGACACAAGGGGATGTCTATAATAGATGGATCCATAAATTGAAGTACCCTTGTAACATTAAGTCAAGATCAGGATAAAGATCTAAAACTTTTATGCATGCTTCATTACTTCCCTGAAATGGATTAAAATACAGTCTGCTGTGCCTTTTCTAAGCCTTTAGTTATATATACAAATATCCTGTGTATAATTGTGAGTGTCTATGTGTCGTTGAACTGCTAAAACCTTTAATACACATGTAAGAGTAACCTAATCAAGTCATTATTTGTAGAGTTTAAATTTATGGACTGCCATGTAATTACCATCTCTTGTGGGGGAAATGTCATCATCCCATCATAATTTCCCAAGTTGTTGAGCCATTCATAAATTCATTTTGCTTTAATAATTCTAACTGTAATGTCTTCAGTGAGTACTAAGATTTCCCTCCCTCTTCTGACAGTTGGTTTTTATTATCCTGTTTCCTTGTTATACCATGATTTCACAAATGAAGTAGCCCATAGGTAAAAAAAAAATCCTGTATCTTTTGTTTATCAGTAATTAAAATATCACCCCAAATCTAAGAAACTGCACCTCAAAGGAAGGCACAGTACATACCAAACCTCAAACAGGGAAAAAACAAGCAAGCAAACAAAACAATTTCAAGGTGTCTATGGCATATCATGCTATTATTTATAGCAATACATTATATTCTTGAGAGTATAAAATGTATATTTTATTTGTTTTCACCACAGTATGTAAGGTAATTAATATGGTGTGTGTGTGTGTGTGTGTGTGTGTGTGTGTCTGGTATGTCTGCTGTGTGTGTGTGTGTGTGTTGTGTGTGTGTGTGTGTGTGTGTGTGTGTGTGTGATTTCTAGCAATTAAAATAATGTTTTAAAGGAAGTAAAAACTAAAGTACAGGATTAAGAACAAGATTAAGAGCCTGACAAAGGCTCTTCTCTCTTATTCAAATTATTTACAAACTATATGCTTGAAAACTATGGACTGCACACACCAATAGTACAAATGAGGAGCATAAGTTCAATGTTAGGGTAATACTAAGATACTTTTTAATGCTCAGATATTTTAAGACAACACATAAAAATGTAAAAATCTCTAAGAGAGGTAGTATCATAGTGTGATAAGCAAAATATATGAATCACAAAAGAGTTTGAACATTCAGAGTTTGATAATAAAATAGAGAAGTATTATTAATATGTTAAAGCTCCTACCCCCAGCAAAAGACAACTAATTTTTTAATGTTGTTACTATATTGTCCTTAGTGAATCTGGTTTAGAGTATTGAGAATGAAACCAGTGCAACAGCAATTATGTTGCACTGGATATCTGAGTTTTAATTTCTCATCCTCAGAAGAGCCCCTTGCTTTATAAAGCAAAGCAGAAATGTTACCAAAAGTAAGCATAAATAAGTTTTTTTTAACTTATTGGAGACATTAGCATTTATTTCTCACACACAAGAACTTGAGTTGAGTTTGCCTCTTGTATGACAACAATAAAGTACTAACTAGATATAATTAGCTGAAGATACTGGAAATTTCACTGTAACTAGGGCAACTGTGAAAGGACAATGTAGACACTTTAGATGTGATTCTAGAATTCTGACAAAGTTCCAATACAATAAAATCCAAATTTTCTCATTTTGATAATCTTTGATAATCATTTTTTAAAGGAACTGTCATTCTCATTTTGTTAGTGTTCATTGCACAATGTCTACTGTAGAATGAGAAGCATCCAAACTTCCAAATTCTATGAGCCAGGCAGAAGAAACCAACAGCACCAATACTCTCATGAAGGAATGTGTTTGGGCATGGACAGCTACAATTTAATACATAAACGCAAGAGTGATTTGATCTAAGAGAGTTGGTTGGGGAACTAAATCATGTAGGGCTTTGGAGTATGTAGAAAAGAATATAAACCATTGGAAGATTTTTAGGTAAATGCAATCATGGTGTTGTATCATAAAGGAGAAAACAAAGGCAAGAGCAGAGAGAGTGGTTAGCCAGCTTGGTAGGACAGAGGCTGTGGGAGCTGCAACCAAGTGTTAACATTTGAGAGGGTTATAAGTGGACACAGAAACCATCAAGAATTCTGAAAGGCTTTTATACTATCTGCCATCTACCAAAGTAACCTGCCACAGTACCAGGGACAAGACAGAGTGTAACATGTGACTATTGATTCAGATGCAAAGGACTTTATCACAACCACAACAGCAACCTCTGTGAGCAGCTGGGTAGGACCCCCATGTTCCAGTTTCTAGAATACAATGCAAACTGGATTCAGGAACACCTGAATGTGCCTGATCAAGATAGGCCATACTTTCCTGACTTGATTGAATACACCAAAACACAGCACTGATAATGAGCCAATTCCTAGTTTAATTATTGGTGTTGTGCTCATCACAAAATTTAGCATTGTTTTTGATTTTAAAAATATAGCATTAAGGGTTGGAGAGATAGCTCAAGTTGTTAGGAGCACTGGTTACTCTTCCAGAGGTCTTGAGTTCAATTTCCTAAAGCAGCTAAAATCACTGTAAAGAGTATGGTAGAGCCAGGGATTGTGGAGGGATAGTGCAGCCCCATGCCAACAAACAAGACACATTTGCTTCCAGAAGCCAATTGCAGCTCAACTTAAAGTCTATTGATTTAGGCACCTGAAGGTCAAATTAGCCAGGCAGGGTGGTATATGACTGTTATCCTAGCACTGGGGAGGCTGAGGCAAGATAAGAGTGGGGTCTAGGGAGTCTAACTCACATGGCGATGCCCTGTATAAAAAAAGAAAGAAGATGGCATTGTAGCTTTCTGGCTTCACAGCTGAGTAAGGTTATTGGTAACTTTTCTCTCCCAGCAGCCTGCAGAGCAGCTTCAGGAACGGTAAAAGCCAGCTAGCAGGAATATAACAGTTCTAGTTCTAGTTTGATTTCTATGGAAGTTCTAGTTTGATTTCTCCATGCCCTGTCTTATGAACAAGTTATGGTGGGCAGTCAAGAGCAATAACAATAGCTTGTATTGTTATTTTTGAGACTTCCCTGACCAGAAACTCAAAGGAAGATAGGTACCCCACATCTGTCATTGATGTTTTGGCTTAATAACCTATGGCTTCCAGGAGCATTATCTCCCATGTAAGATACCTCCATCCAGATTTAAGGCCTACTCCACAGGAGGAAACTCATGCCTGGTACTGGGAACCCAGACAACAATGCATGTCTGGGGAGATCATAGGTCTCCAGGTGCACTTATTGCTATTATTTTGCTAACTGGATACAGTATCAAGCTGCCCTCTGAATTTGTATCTTTATACCTATGGATTAGTGTAGCTGTCAAACCTCATCAGAGACTCTGCTTTTTTCAATGGGTGACAGTTAATACAGAGACTCACAACTGGGCAAAGTGGAGAGAATAAGTGACTGTGGAGTGCTGGGGTAAATGGGACATCTGTAGCACACACACAAACACACACACACACACACACACACACACACACACACACACACACACACACACACACCAAAGCTCAGAAAACACTGTAGAAAAGAAGAAAGACATAGTGAAGAGCCAGAGTGTGAGGAATACTGCTACAAAACACTGTCTTTTGGACATGACATACCAGTGAACCGATGAACTCATCGCCGCTGGGGTTGTCTCACATGACCTGCATAAGACTGGGCCTGTCACCCCTTCTTCTTATGTGGCAGAGGGTCTCATGAGGTTCCACCCCTCCCTGAGGGACTACTGACAGCTAATGGCTGCTGGGAGAAGGTTTGCTGCTTTCTTCAATGGTGTAACCACCGAGAAGTTGTTCATATTCTAGTAAATGGTCTTCCACGTTAGCCCATGCACGCTAAGTGGATCACACACTAAAAAGATAGGAAAGTAGGAAGACATTTGTTTAAAAGTTCCACAGAAGAGGGATGGTAAACCAGGCAAGGGGACACACTGTAAGAAGAACAAACACTCATTATGTGCATGAATTAAACTGTCAAAGAATAAAAACAATTTTTAAAAGTAAAAGCTAAATGAAAGGAAAGAGAAGAAAGAATAAACCCACCCCAGGTAAGAGCACCAAGTGCCTTGTCTGTAGATATCCTAGAGTTTTTCCTGACCTGGGGAAATGTACTCTAGTAGACAAAAGTTCCTTTTCATGTACAGATTCCACTGAAAATACTGAAACTTTTGCAAATTTGGAAATTTACCTCTAAGGGATGAGCCTTGAGAGAACCCACTGTCCCCTTCCTTCCATTATAAGTTCCAAGTGTCTTATATTCACAAGTAATAAGTGCCCTGTACACATAGTACCAAGTACACTGTACACACAGTACCAAATGCCCTGTACACACAAGTACCAAGTGCCCTGTACACACAGTACCAGGTGTGCTGTACACACAGTCCCAAGTTCCTTTTACACACAGTACCAAGTACCCAGTACACACAAGTACCAAGTGTCCTGTACACACAGTAACAAGTGTCCAGTACACACAGTAACAAGTGTCCTGTGCACACAATACCTAGTGCCCCTGTGCCCTCAGCTTCTCAAGGAAATCAGCCAAAGCTCAGATGATCCATCCACTTGTTGCCCTCCCTGAAGGTCCCTCTCCTCTTCTCCTGACTAGCAAGGTTCAAACCTCCACAACTTCTATGTGAAAAGAAGTAGAAATCTCTGCCCAAACAGAACAAATTTAATATTATATTGTTCATATCATATGAACTTGATTTCTACTGTGAAGAAATGCACCGTATCCCATCTCATAAAGCTTCAGAAACCATCAGAGTGCCAGACTAGCTGCTCTCTTTCAACCCTTTGTCTATAACCCAACATTTAATCCCCTCTCCAGATCCTCCACTTAATAGGCAATGAGTAGAGTGCTGTTTGAGCATGTCAGGTTGAGCATACAATTTTGCCAACATGTTTGCTATTGGTTTTTATGGAGTTTCTTTGGCTCTTGAGACCGCTATACTTCCTTTCTTAAAAAGTCTATCTCAGTTAGAACTCCATCCTTTCTGCCCAAACTGTCAAAGACTGCAGTGTCTGAGAATCATTCTACTTATTAGATAACAAGTTATCACACCAGTTCATTGATGCTGAAAGAGCAACAACAACAAGACTGACATCAACAGCAGTAACATGCACACCCAGACTGAGCATTTGCAGCTGTCTCTGAGCCTCACTTCTCACTTAGAGGAACAATGGGCTCTTATGTAAGGTGTAGATTTTTGTCTTCTAAAGCCCTTTATGTGAATATCTGTGAAAAGCAAATTCAGAACAGAGGTAGTTAGAGCATTTGCTTACAAGATATGTAGAAACATGAGAACTTCACAGAATTGTCTCTTAACCGAACTTGTTAACGGATCGGATAAGTGAGCTTAAAGGACAGTGGAAAAATCAAAGATGACTCCCAAGTTTTTAAACATTTGGTGTCACACAGAATAGAACATTTAGGAAAGGAGGTCAAGGTTGGGTCACATATACTTTTCTTGTTCCTATTAAATACTAAACATAATGTGTGATAGGAACAGTTGAATATGTAACTATGGAAGCATACAGACTAGGCCAGATCTAGTAACTATCTGGTTATAAACCATATAGCAGGTATCTAAGTCATGAGAACTTAATGATGAAGGGGAGATATGAAACACCTGTGGTCTATGAAATCTCACACCTTAAAGTTCAGATAGAAGAGAACATTAAAGCCAGGAATAATCACCCAGTCTAGGGAGGATTTTGCCTAGGAAACCAAAATAAGGAAATGATTACTGATGTCAAATGTTGCTATAAGTTTGAAGATAAAGTCAGGACCATAGGAACTGGTGGTGTAAAATAAAACAGAGACTTATAGATTAAACACAGATTCTTAATCATGTGACTTCCTGAAGGAACTGGACAAGTGAACTTTGAACAAGCCAAGTTCATTGATAATAACTACCTACAATCTAGTCCTCTCATCACTGAATGTTTATGTTTTACTATTTAAGATTCTGACTGCACGGGCTCTGCATAAACATTATTATACAAATATAAAGAAACCAGAAAATCTATGTGAAGTCTTGGCAAGCAGTCAGAAGCAACCCACAGAAATGATGCCTGCTTTGAAATCCTAAACAATGTTTTCATGACTATCCCAAACACAGAAAATCCAATATAATTAGCAGAGACTTGGCTGTGATAAGAACAGAGTTACGGCTGATTCTCATTTCTAACTTGGACTTGTTTCAGTGTTCTCTTGAGTTGACTACATGATGGAGGTTACAGCTGGACACTCATTTAGTCAACCTTTCTTGTAGGTGCAGACGACAACAATGTGCATCTCTGTTAGCTTGAGTGGTTTCGTGGTCTTGGGCTGTTTGTTTGCCCCCAAGGTACACATCGTCCTGTTCCAACCCCAGAAGAATGTGGTCACGCACAGGCTTCACCTCAACAGGTTCAGTGTCAGCGGAACTGCCACCACATATTCTCAGTGTAAGTATGGAAATAACACTCATTCACTTGGAAATGGCCCCACACAGGGATCCAGGACAGCAGGCCCCAACAAAGCATGCCTGTCCCTATAAAGAATCTCAGGTCAGTGTTAATAAGTTCTAATATACATATTAAATTAGAATGCATATCAGACTGAGCTGTGTGCTAAGGATACAGTACAGAGCACAAGATTCAACATTCTGTGGACGCCTGGTAGTGTCTGTCAGAGAAGAAAGACATTCAAGCTATCAACTCAAAATTAAGCTTTTTACCAGGTTGTGCAGCCATAGGACCAACCTTCTGATCTTTTTGCAGTAGTCCCCTGGATTGCCTTAGAAGAGTCACTGAGTTGTCCCCACCTCATTTTACTCAATGCCTAGAGGGTGGTGCTCTCTAAAGAATGTTGAGAGTCACACACATGTTGAAGAGGCTTCATGAAAAGAGCAGAGAGGACACACTCATCAGAAGGGAATGCTATCAGCCCATGCCACCCTTTTCAAAAGTTCAGACACTTCTACTAACAGGGGGAAGCTAAGAGTTGCGGTGCAGTTGGAGCTAAGATTTGGAGAACCTTCTCAATGAGGACACTTGTTTGTTCCCTTTGTGTTTAGCCACATTAAAATCCAACTCACATCCCGAGACAGGGCTTTGGAAAGTGCTAGAAAAGATCTTCCTGATTCCTTGACACAATGATTTTTGTCTCGCTGAGAGCAGCTGAAAGCTTGTGTGACCAGGGTTCTAGGATCCTTCCCTAGAACTGTTGCTGGACTTTCCTGCAGCTTCAGTCACAAATGAACACACAGACATGCTATAATAATTATTAAACTGTTAGCCAAAGGCTGGGACTTCTTATTGGCTACCACTCTCTTAATTATTAACCCATAAACACTAATCTATGTATTTCTACGTGGCCTTATCTTACCAGAGAACTCCTGGTGCATCCTATCTTCCCAGTCTCTACATGGAGTCTCCTTCCAGTGCCCCTCTGCCTACCTTTCCCAGAATTCTCCTCATCTCCTAGTCCCGCCTATCTTCCTGCCTCTATTGCCCAAACAGTGTTTTGTTCATCAACTGATAAGAGAAACAAATATACAGAAGGACATCCCCCATCACAGGCCACCATTCTTCCCCTTCTGGGATCTTTGTAGTTAAGATGGTGGCTGAAACACTGTCATTCCCAAACATGTGATTCAAGTTTCCTAAGGCGCAAATGTATCTGAAACAGACAGTTTTCTACATCATTTTCAGTTCATCTGTGGTTCAAAGTAGGAAAAATGCACTGACAGGGTGAGAGAGAAGGGGATGGAACCACACAGGGAGGGAGGTCTTGGGATGACAGCCGACAAATGACTGCTTCACAGTTTTGCCTTCAGTCAAGGAGAAAAGATACTTCAAAACAGCTCAGCATCACAGGGTGAACTAGTGCATCACTGCCTCAGTTTCTCCAGCAAAGAATAGGATGTGACAGATCACCCTTTCCCCCAGTGGAGGAAGGCTGGCAGGGTGGGAGCACACCTGTGTTCTCGGATGCATCCTAACACTTATCTCCTCAGCCCTGACCTGCAGTGACACGGGGATCCACCCACTGCCTACTAAAACCCATGTTTCCCAAAGGTGAAGTAAAACCTATAAAACAGAGAAACACACTTGTTTCCAAAATAAACAAATTTGTTCATTTCTTAACTAAACAAAATTGTTATAGCTAGCTAGTTCAAACAATAAGAAACTGGCAATAAAAAATGTCATGCACAGAAATTATAACTTACCCCTTATTTTCTACATGAAGGGCAGACCACTAAATACTTTGTGTGTATGTACATTCCACATTTGATTTAATGTTCACAACTTTTTGAGATAAAGAAACTTGAACAGGGTCATGATTATCCCAATCAATGAAGCATAGTATTTAAAAAAAAAAAAAATACCTGAATCAGAACTTAGCATGAGTACCTCTGAATGTCAAGCCAGTATACCTAACTACAGTACCATGCTGCCCCTCTCAAAAAGCATGTTAGGGCTGTTAAGCACCTCACTCATGATGCTAAGTGGGTAATAGCTTCCTTAAGGAAGAAGTAACACTCACTCTAGTCTAAATCAGACAAGTTTCCATTGGGTCTATTGATAGCTCAAAGCTCATGGGTATGACTGGAACAACTTAACAACTTATAGTCATTAAGTTATAACAGACATTTCAAACCAGATCTCAGAACTAGTAGTATGTGCTAATACACATGGTGGGAATTATTAAATTTCTGGCAAAATAATCCTGGACTCTATTTAATCAAATCCTCTTCTCAGAAATTGTAAAATATCCATTTACACAAAAAATTGTGCTGGGCCTATACCAGACCCACTGTGGCTCTGTAAACTAATCTGAACTTGGCCAAATTGGTGCTTTAAGGTAGGTATCTACCCAATGTAACATTTTTGGAGTTACAGGAGTTCCAGAACTCAACAACATTGCCCTATTTATCCCAATCAATGAAGCAGTATTTCCTAACAAAACAAAGAATTCATACAATATTCATTTCAAATTGCAGAGATAACAAATACACTCATTTGTGTCTGTGTTTAAAGTAGCTTAAATTATTTAGATTTACTTTATCCTCGGGACAGCAGGTACTAGAAGTTCTATTTTGTAGCTAAGTAAATTGAGAAGTCATTTGTGCCCATTGATAGCACAAAGCTCTTGGTTATTACTGGAACAACATAGTTTTAAGTCTTTATTTTTTTAACTTTAGAGACACTGTCTGTCTGTGTAGCATTGATTGTCCTGGAACTCACTCTGTAGACCAGGCTGGCCTTGAACTCAGAGATTTACCAGCTTCTGCCTCCTGAGTACTGGGATTAAAGGTGTGTGCCACCATACCCAGCCTATAATCAGACCTCAGTAACTCAGAACTAGCAGCAGCATGTTGACCTTGGATTTCCTGACTCACAGTGAAAATGTTTCCCATTTTAATCAATTAAAGCTACTCTTGTGAAATTACATTCTTGAATATTACCATATTCCAGTGGCCTATGAGCATCAAGTACAAACAAGAGTAGGACAGGACCCCTGACCCCATGAACCTTGTTGTTTAAGACAGTTTTGACACTGTAGAAGGTAAAACTATTTAATGGGTTGAGGGACTTTTATTTCGTGTATTTTAAAAAAAAAGATACAAAATCTTAGGATACATTACATGGGGGAAAAAAACATGAGGGCAAATCATGATTATATGTGCCAGGTGGAATGTGTTTATTAACTCTGAATCACTACCACTGACTTGTGAGATGCACTGCATGTGAATATGCTACTGACCTGCTGTCATGCACAAATTCAAGCCAAACCTTTATTACCTTAGTGCCCACTTCCTTTAGTAAGAATACAGTATAGCTGATATCCATTTCCCCCCAAATACTGTGAAATGTGCTGTTTTACAAATTACACAAAACTCTTTAACTACTGTGAATCCACTAGGTATTAGCTTCCACTGTGGTGGCAGCCTGCCTCTGCCACCGAAGCAGTTACATCCTCACCTGTCAGCAGGGGCCTTCCCACCTTCAGCTATGTGACACGTGCACCCCTTAAAAGTGCCCGCCAGACATAACTCTTCTTTCCTGTCTTGTTCTCTTGTCTTTCTTGCCTTTTGCCTTTTGCCTCTTGCCTCTTCTTTTGCCTCTTGCCTCTCTTGACTCTTGCTCCTCTCCTGACTCTCTTCTTCCTCTTGTCTCTTCCCTGTTCTCTCTGTGTCTGCCTGCCTCTCATGTTCCCACTTAGAAATGATCTTTCACCCTCTCACTCTCCCTCTCTCACCAGTAAGCCTCTTCCACTAACTCTGTTATTTTACTTAGAGTGTAAGCATAGTCACTGATTTTTAAATCTCCAAATTCAACCAAGTTTAGGTCAAAAATATTTAGGGGAAAATGCATAAAAGCAATAAATATATTGAGACTAATTTTCAAGTCATTATTCTCTAAATAAATAATGCAGTACACCAGCTATGTGCAGTGTATTAAGTACTAGTAGTCTGAAGACAATATACAATGTATGGGAGAGAACTGTAGGTTACAGACAAACCCCATTTTATGAAATGGATTTGCTCAGATTATAGTGTCTATCAATAGGGAAGCAGAAAGGGAAGGATCCTGTAAGCAATATTTTACAGACATCAAGGAGCAAATGTAACTTTTGGCCTTCCAAGAAGTACTATACTGGTGATTTATTCCATTGGCTGACTGTTACTGATGCTATTGCTGATTTTGAATTTTCTCCATGGGTAAAAGAAATACACCACACACATAAATGAGAGGAAGACATGGAAGAAACAGGGCTACCTCTCTCTTCAGTGTTTAATTATTTATTTCTACATAAGAAGCTTCACAGCCCAAATGGTTTAAAACAACTCTCGTATCACCTCCTATGGTTTTGTGAATCATGAATTCAGCCAGGCCTGGGGTGGGCAGTTCATCTGCTTCATAATGCCTTAGCTGGCATCCTCCTGTGGAGCTGCTGCTGAGAGTTGATCTGGAGGAAGCATCCTGGTCTCACACCTATGCTTAGCACCCTGGTGGAAAGCCTCCCTATGTGGGCTTTCAGAGAGCATGCTGGGTAAAAGCAGCCAGCTGGGAAACCCACACAGGATGTTCTATACTATATCTACTGAAGGACAGGACACAGCCTGCCCATATTCAAGGGGAAGAACTAAACCAACTCTCAGGGAATCCGTAGTTGTTTTTATTAGGCTATTGTCTCCAAACCCTAGATGAACTCAGAGCTGCATTGTTTGTAGGAATTAGTGTGACTTCATGGGGCAGCCACATTACTTCCTACTTTGGTCTTTGTCAAGGCAGTGACAGGTACAACATGTCACTTGGGAACTTTGTCATCATCTTCCCAAAAGCTAAGGTCACTAAACAAGAAACAATGAGTTCATATGAAGTTGTTATAAACAGAAAAGTATGACCAAACTCAGAAGTCAGCATTGAAGAAGGGGCAAAGCTAAAGACATTTGGGG